TATCTTTGGGGAGGACCAGTTTTCTCTGACTGGAAATAGCCCTGGCTGGCCGGGTTGCGTCTGGGAGTGCAGCTGCCTTCCCCCTGCTGTCTGCATCCCCCAGTCTGACTCACTCTTCTTTCCACTGTTGAAAAAGTAGTTTTGGGGATGAGCATTTGGTCTTCTGGTAAAGATGCCAGGTAGCAGTCCTGCATCCCGTATCTCAGTTCAAGTCCTGGCTCTCCTCCTAATTCATGCTCCCTGCTGATGTGCACCTGGCAGGCAGCGTGTGATGGCTCGGGTAGGGTCCCTGCCACCCATGTGGGAGACCCAGATTGAATTCCTGGCCGCTGTCTTCAGGCTGATCCAGCCTGGGCCAGTGACGGCCTTGGGGAGTAAAGCAGCAGATAAGAAATCTCAGTTTCTCTCCTGTTTGCTTCTCAAACAAATACTTAAATAAATCACTTAAAATTATTTTCACTCCCTAGTGGCTCCTGAATGTAAAAATTTCTTGATTCAGACTTTTTCCGCTCCTTTTTTTTTTTTTTTTTTTTTTTTTTTGACAGGCAGAGTGGACAGTGAGAGAGAGAGACAGAGAGAAAGGTCTTCCTTTGCCGTTGGTTCACCCTCCAATGGCCGTTGCGGCCGGCACACCGCGCTGATCCGATGGCAGGAGCCAGGTGCTTCTCCTGGTCTCCCATGGGGTGCAGGGCCCAAGCACCTGGGCCATCCTCCACTGCACTCCCGGGCCACAGCAGAGAGCTGGCCTGGAAGAGGGGCAACCAGGACAGAATCCGGTGCCCCGACCGGGACTAGAACCCGGTGTGCCGGCGCCGCAAGCGGAGGATTAGCCTAGTGAGCCGCGGCGCCGGCCTTCCGCTCCTTTTTTGAGGCCTCGTTTTGTTCCTGGTCGCCATGTGCACTTCTCAGTGGGATGAACGAGGTGCTTCTCTGTTGTGGGGAGGATCCAAAGGTAAACCTGCAGAAGATGAGATACTAGGATTTCTAGGATCTGCTGAGGGAACAAGCCTTTGGGTCCAGCGTGGCGGTAACACTTGTAGGGGCTGGGGACAGTTCCGTGGATGATGTCTGCCCCACAGCACACCCACATCTGAGACAGCTCCGTGGATGTGTTAGCTGTTTTCCACCAGCACCTCGCCCTCTGATGCCACCGTGGCTAGCTTTACCACTTCTTCTAGAAGAGAAGTATCTGTCGAGGCCGAGTGGACGGGCCGCCTCCTGGGCATCTCTGGCACATCTTCTTTCGAGACTCCACTGTTCTGGAAAAGCCGACGCAGTTGGTTCAAACTCAGGTTTGGAGGTAGAGCCAGTTTTTTCGGGGAGTCTGGATGCCTTGTCTGTTTATGCAGGTCGTCTGATTTCAGACTTCTCAGCACGAGAGAAGTGACGAGAACCCGCAGTTGATGCTGTCAGCCGTTCGCTGTCACCCTCTTGCTCACTGGGTTTTTCCCTCATCCAAGATTTTTAAACATCGGATCTCCGTTTCTTATGGGAATGGGTACATGTGCTTACTTAGGCATCACCATTTGGAAAGCTCAGTAACAAGTGGGTTGTCGGATCGTAGTGGGTGGCAGGCCCTGGGCAGACGTATGCAGCCCCGGATGTAAGGAGAGTGGAGAGCTATCTCAGGAGAACCTGCTCAGGTGGAAGTGCTGCGCTGCGAGGCCACAGCCTCACTGTGTGTCTTGTGCTGCGCCTTGGACTCCCTGACACTCTAGAGTGGCTTGCAGGAGGCCGGCAAGCCACTGTGGTAGCTGTAGGGACAGGCAGCAGGGCCTTTCTCTTCTGCTTACAGGGCCAAATTCTTACCCCTGCGCTGTTAAGACCTGTCTGGTTCTTTTAGGGAATTATCAAGGCCTTAAAAAAAGTTGTAAGCATTTTTTTAAAAATTGTAAGTATTCCTTTTTCTTTTTGAAAAAAAAAAAAAATCATTCTCGTTTTATTTAAAAGGCAGAGAGACAGACGGAGAGGAACATTCCTTCAGCCGGTTTACTCCTCAGTTGCCCACAACAGCCAGGACTGAGCCAGGCCAAAGCCAGGAGCCAGAAACTCACTGCGGGTCTCCCACGTGGGTGGCAGGCACTGAAGTACTTCAGCCATCGCCTGCTATCTCCCAGGGTGCGCATTAGCAGGAAGCTGGATTGGAAGCAGGGTACCAGGACTCAAACAGGCGCTCCAGTGAGGATGCGGGTGTCCCGAGAGGTGACGTAACTGGTGTGCCACACACCCACCCCTGAGTGTGGCCGCCTTGGGCCGAGTCTAGGTGCTGGATGTCGGGGAGGCCCACCTCATTATTCTGCCCTTTGAGCTGATGCCCCAGGACCCCAGGGAGTGCATTTAGCCCTTCCCCAGAGGATCCCTGGCCACCGGGGTGGGAGGCCTCCATGCTGTGCTTGGTGTCACTGATTTTTGTTCCCCAGGCCTCCTTCCATGCCCGGAGCACATCCCCAGCCTGGTCAGCCCTGCCCACCAGGAGCCTACGGAAGGGCAGGCCCCTGAACAGCAGCAGGACTCAGCAGCGAGAGAGAGCCCCTGCGAGCCAGGCACGGGTGAGGGGCACAGCCAGGCCAGCAGCATGAATGGTCCCCCAGGGCAGTGCACAGGTACCAGACACATGGTCCTGGGAAGACGTGCTGGAGGTCTGGGGGCGGAAGAAGTGGCTGGGGGCCTGCCTGGACGGAGGCGGACTGGCTCCCCCGACATAGGCTGCAAAGAAGGTAGGTCTTAGCGTTTTCACCACAAGCAGATGCTCTGAGCGGAGCTGCTGGAGTCCTGGGCTCGCTAGGCTGGCTGGAGCGTGGCTGGGGAGGGGTTCTCGCTGCGGTTAGGGCCACGGGGCCGTGTGTGCCGTGTCTGCATGTGGCTTCCGTCTCCGTGTGTGCCCGGCTGTGTGGCCTCCTCCGGCCTGCTCTTCCTTCTTGCTGCCAGCCTGACTGCCTCTGTTGCCTTCTCCCCGTGCTTTCTACGTGTCTCCCGCTGAGCGTGGCCCCCTCAGTGGGCAGTGGCATCTCCTGTCCCTGGGTGCTTTCCCAGCCACGTGTAAGTTCGGGCTCTGCTCATGGAGTTGGAGAGGTGGGATCTCTGGTAGGAGGGCAGTGTGCCTGTTCACTGCTTACCTCCCCAAGCCCTGTCACCCCGAGGACCGTCAGGGTGACGTTCAGGTGCAGAGGGACAAGGTATTAGTGGCCTGCAGGAGGTCTGGGGCAGGGCCTTTGTTGCCCTTTTCCCACCTGGGAAGGCCGCTGGACCAAAGTCTGTGGCTCCTTCTTCCTGGCAGGTCCGCCCGCGCGTTCCCTCTGGGAATCCAGTGTCGGAAGGGCCCTCACGGATTCTGTCTCTCGCAGGGCCTCCAGCCAGCACCGGCGTTCTGTTCTTGATTAAACAGGAGGGAGAGTCTTCAGAGGGGGAGGCACCAGTCTCCCCTCCCAGAGACATCCTGCCCAGCAGGGGCCCAGGTGAATGAGGGGCGACCGCACATGAGGTCAGGGCGGAGCCTTGCAAGGAGAGGGGTGGTGGGGTCAGGTGCTGGAGCATCCACTCTCAGCCCTAGCGTGGACTTCCGGAAGTCTCTCCCCACTGCAGTCTGGCCAGGCTGGAAAGACAGGATTTGAAAGCAAGCTGCACACTGCCAGCTTGTGTTCCGATGACAGAAAAGCCATCCACGTGGCCTCGTTTCAGTCTCTAGTAGCCCAGGCTCAGCCTGTGATTTTAGGCTCCTCTGCCCTAACCGGGCTTTTCCAGTGGGCTCAGTGCCAGGACCTCTCCTCCTTGCCCTAGGGGCCCCCAAGATGTGACCGCTGTGGCCTCGAGTCTCCGGTCCCAGCCCATCAGCCTGTCCTTTTCTCGGCTCTGTGCCTCAGGAGCCTCTGGGCTCGTGCCTGCCGCCTGGTGGCAGAAGGCATGATGCAGGCAGGCAGGGCGCCCTGCACAGATGTGCTGTACCTGGGAGTAGCACTGAGTGGAGGGGGTCGCTCACTGCTCCCAGGCCGCAGAGGGCCCGTAGCCCACTTTGGAGGCAGGGCCTGATGTCAGAGGTCTGTCCTAGAGTTCTGACGTCAGGCTAGAGGGGTTCACTGTGCACATGGGGAGACAGGATTTGGAGGGAGGGAGGAGCAGGATGGACCTGGATGCAGACTGGGCTGAGTGACTTGGGGGCAGGTGCAGTCCAGTTGGAAACCAACACAGATTCCTTTTGCCAGGTGGTGGTGTGGCCATCAAGACAGAAGCACCGTCTGAGGACGAGATGGGTCCTGAGCAGCCCTTTCTGGGGTCCCCGAGCCAGACCAAGTGTAGAATCCCCAAAGGACCCAGGAGCAGGACAGGGGGCCCCAGTCGGCATCATGCGGAGGGGGTGCCGAGGGTGCGGGTCGGGGAGCCTCGGCCGCCAGGGGCCATGGGTCAACCGCCCCGCGTCCTCCCTCGCCGGCGCGAGCGGGCCTTCCCCTGCCCTGACTGTGGGCAGAGCTTCCGCTTGAAGATAAACCTGACGATCCACCAGCGGACCCACGTGGAGGAGGAGCACAGGGAGGCTGGGGACAGCGCATGCCCTGAGTGGGGCGAAGCTGACTCCACGCTGGAGCCGGGGGAGGTGGTGGTGCCTGGTCCCGTCATCCGCTGGCTGCCCGAGGAGCCCGAGGGCCACCGCTCCCTGGCAGGCCATGCGTTTGTGGGGCGCAGGCCAGCAGCCGCCAAGGTGTACCACTGCAGCGAGTGCCTGCGCTTCTTCCAGCAGAGGAAAAGCTTGCTGCTGCACCAGCGCCTGCACACGGGCAGCAGTCAGGGCTGGCCTGCCTGTCCCTACTGCGGCAAGGCCTTCCGCCGGCCCTCGGACCTCTTCCGGCACCAGCGCATCCACACCGGCGAGCGGCCCTACCAGTGTCCCCAGTGTGGCCGGGCCTTCAACCGGAACCACCACCTGGCTGTCCACATGCAGACTCATGCCCGAGGCCATGCCCGCCAGGGGAGCCCACCCCTGCCCGGCCCCAGCCACATGGAGGAAGGCTGAGCAGGCGGAGGCGCCCTGGGCCGCTCTGGCCGTGAGGAGCCTTTCCCTTCGTGCCTCCGACTGGTTTCTTGTTTGCAGATACTTTGGTGGTTTTTAATTTTTTTCCGTTCAAATGGGAAGCAACAGCCCCTTTGATGTCAGATGCTTCCAGTTCCTGTTTCCTAGGTCTGTCACTCTGCTGCCTTTTTTCTACATTCCTGACTTATAATGGATTCCTTCAGGCTTAGGGGATGCCAGCGTTTGTTGAGGGCCTTTGGCAGGTAGCACAGACAGTCCAGGGGACCAGAGACAGAGGCCCTTCCCTCGTGGCCTTGAGTCTGACAACAGTCGCCTCCTGCCGGCGGCCAGCATGAGCCCAAAGGAAAGACCCTGCGCGTCTTCGACTCTTACTTTGAAGCATCTTTTACTCTTAATGGATTTTTCCTTTTGCTTTTCCAAGTGTTATGTACTGTTGCAAAGAGGACCAAGAGCCCCAGGCTGGAGGGGCTGCGAGAGGGGCCCAGTTTAGAACAGCCCATGGCTTTTGATAGTGACGCCTTGATGCTTTGGTTGCTGTCCTGGAGGCCAGTGGCCTTCCCAGGTGTGTGTTTCTTGGCCCAGAATGAGCCCAAATATTCCCTGCAGGACAGTCACACCATTGTCTACCCCGTTAGCGTGGAGAGGAAGCTGAGCTGGGGTGGGGTACACTAGCCACAGGAGGTCTCAGGGTCGTGGATGCACGTGCCCCGTGGACTGCACCCCAAACAGTGCCTTGAGGGGGGATGCAGAGTGAGCCCAGGAGGCCCCTGTCCAAGAGGAGGACGTCTGTGGCAGTCCACCTGGACTCGGGCCTCAGATGTCTCCTCTCAGACGAAGAGTTCTCCTTTGAGGAGCGTGGCTCTGGGGCAGAAATGGTTTAGGAGATCTGGGTGAACCCTTCAACCATGTTTAGTCTTAGATTCCTCGTCTGTCCAAGTGGGTGATGGCCCCGGTGTCCTAGGTCACCTGAGAATTGTCAGGGTCAGATTAGAGCCACTGGGACACACAGGTTGTCCTTTCAGGGTCAGGACAGCCTTTCCCTTCCATCTTGATCTGCAGCCCTCCCTGCAGTTAGAATCCCCCTCTGCAGTTTGCAGCAAGGTAAGGCTTCCTACTGGCCTGCGGCCACTGCGGGAGTTCAGGCAGTAGTATCAGGCCTCGTGGAGAAGTCCCGAGGGAAGTGTTCTTGTGCCTTTTAAACGCACCACTTTGGGTGCTGCCTGTAAATCAGCCTGGGTGTGGATGGTTCTGAGACTGGAGCATTGGGTACCCAGTTACCCTGATGACTGCTGCCTTGCCTGGCACCATGAGAGGCAGCAGTGGTCGGGTCTGCACCCAGGGTGAGTATGCTCCTGGGTGTCCAGCAGTGTCACCTTGTTTCCCCTTTGACCCTGCACACTCCTTCTGAAGTTCTGAACAGAACTAGGTAGGGGCTGATGGGGCCAAGATAAGTGTGTAAGGCAGTGCAGCCAAGCTCACTGGGTTCGCCAGCATGACACCACCCTGTGGTGTGCTCCCTGTGCTGTGGGTGCTCCCTGTCTGCTGTGGCACCCCCTGCCCTTGCTGGGGCCCCAGGTCAGAGGAGGGTGGGCTGAAGTTCTGAGGATGTGGTGCCAGTGTAGCTGATCAGAGCTTAACGCACAGCTGCAAGAGCAGCCCTGAGAGGTGGGAAGCCCTGGGCTAACGCTTTTTTCAGTTCCTACGCCCGTGTTTTATATGGTAAATGCCGTGTGTTTGTGCAGGTGTTCCAGTAGAAACACAAACCATATTCACAAGGCACAGGCTCCCTCCGCTCCCCGCCCCCCGCCCTTGTTTTAGTTCAGAGCGCTGTGTGCTCGGCTCTGGGTTAGGCCTGGCTTGCAATAGGAAGCTTTGCGTTGAAACACGTGATAAGAGGTGCGTGGGTACCACTGCTGGCAGGGTCCCAGAATTCTGGGCCTAGATTTTTCCTCGTTTGTAAAGCAATGAAGTGTTTGGGCTCCTGAGGACTGTGAAAGGGGCAGCCTGGCCCCTAGTCGGTGCTCAATAAACATGTCGGCATTAACGCGTGGCTTGCACAGTGCGTGAGCTGCGGTGCGGGGCTGTCGGGGCGCTGCGGGGGCGCTGGGGCTCGGCTGGCTGGAGAGAAGCGCCTGGTCCCCGCACCTGCCGGGCTCCAAAGCCAGCCAATGGGACGCCTGTTTCGGGCCGCAGGGACCAGCTGAGCGCGGGGCAGGGGCAGGGCTTTCCAGGGCGGCCAATGGGGACCCGAGTCCGGGCTGCCTGCTGCCGAGCGCTGTGGCTCAGCGCGCCCGCCAGGGGTGGGTCTCGGCTGTCTCTGCACTCCCTGAGCACCCAGCCCAGTCGGTGTGCAGAAGGGTGGGCCGAGGCCTCCCGCAGAGAGGACCACGCGGCGGCGCCTGCAACTCCCGAGGCCGGCGGACAGTGCTGGGGCCATGGCCGAGGCGGCTCCGGCTCCGGTAAGGGAGGATGAGCTCCCCGGGAGGATGTCTTGGAAGAGGGAGGAAGATGAGACTACGGAGGGACGTGCCTTCCTGACAAGCACGGAATAAGGCCATGGGGACGCAGCCATAAAATAAAGTGTCGAGGTGCCCTGCCGCCCTGCCGTCTGGTGGAATATGGGCTCTGCTCTGATTGCCCGGGGTGGGAGTGGAGGTGGGGGAGGGCTGTGGACGTCGTCCAAAGACCGCCCACGCGCCTCTTCCTGGACGGTCCTTTGGGCCCACCCTACACTCCCCCCGGTGGGGATCTCCGAATTCCCCAGGAAGCCCTTTCTGCGGCAGCTGAGGGAGGGGCAGATGCAGGTGTGACCGAGGCCACCCCCACCACAAGAGCCAGCCCTCCGCAGGTGGAGGGGCTGTCTCCGCGCGCAAACAGAAACTGCTTCACCGTAGTTTTAGGTCCATTCCTGGGTGCCGGATCGGAGGCAGGGCATTGCAGGAGGCCAAGGACGTGCATCCCAGCCGTGTCTGTCTCCTGAAGCCTACACTTTGCCGCAGGGGTCAGTGGCCTGCCTTGGGGCGCAGAGAAGAGAGGCCGCAGGGGCAAGTGTCTGGTGACCAGTGCCTAGTATGAGTGGGCCGTTTCACGGAGTGCTGTTTGGAAGGAGGCTTTGGGGAACTCCATTGTACAGAGTGCGCTAATCAGTCTTTGGTTCCTGACACGTCTGCTCATTAATCCATTTATATTTGCTTGAAAAAGCGTAGTAGGTGCTAGTGTTGCATACCCCAAGTGCTTCCCATTCTTCTAGTGCATTTCATTCACGTAGTCACTAAGGCAGTAGTGACAGCCTCTGAAGTTGCGGAGGATTTGCATGGCGGGGTGGGCGTGGATGGGGGTTCTCAGACTTCCATTTTTGGCAGTGTCCCACTGAGACCCTCCTGTTTTGTTTGTTTTTTTTTTTTTTTTTCATTTTATTTCATTATTTCTAAGACTACATGGTACATTTTCCAACTCCCGTGAGTGGGGTATTCTCTGAAATAGTCCCTTGTTCTGATAACTGTAAGGTGCTGGTTTTTAGCTTTGGCCTGTTTCTGGCAACAAAGACCTGGCATCCAAGTGGAGGCCGTGCTGGGGCTGGTTGACAAAGCACCGAGGTCTTGGGGACCCGGGATCTCAGATGGGACAGGAAGTCACCCAGCAGTGGACGTCAGGGCAGAAATACCACAGCGATCTTTGAGGGCAGAACAACGGGGCCTTGCTCGTCTCTGCGCTCAGTAACTGGGGGTTTGCGCTATAGGAAGGTGGGCACTGAGCTGGCTGCCTGGGCTGTTTTCCGGTTTCTCACTCACTCCTTGCCTGTTCTTGATGAGCCGTGTCCCTGGGGAAAGGAAACGGGGCTGGTCAAGTCATTGGCTGCACTAATCCGACTATGGAGTGGTAGAACTGGGATTCAGGTCTGCTAGGCTCTCTGTCCACTTTGCATGGTAATCGTTTCCCATTTCATTTTCCACTGTTCCTCGCTTGGTTTAAGATTCTTCTGCAGGGGCCACCTCTGTGGGGTCCAGGATCTGCCTCCTTTGTGGGTCAAGGGATCTGACCAGAAAGGACTTCTAGCAACCAGAAGTTCTCCCCAGACAGAGGACCCTGGCCTTCCTGTAGCTAGGATGGCTCTGGGCACCTCTCCTAGTGACTTACCTGCTGCTGTCTTGTTGCAGGACTGGCATTTGGGAACTGACTTCCAGCGAGAGGCCCGGGTCCAGTGCACAGAGATTTCCCTTCTGGCTGTCTTGGCTGCTGTTCAGGCCGTAGAGAAGAAGATGGAGTCCCAGGCTGCCCGGCTGCAGAGTCTGGAGGGGCGCGCAGGCACAGCCGAGAAGAAGCTGGCCGACTGCGAGAAGACGGCCGTGGAGTTCGGCAGCCAGCTGGAGGGCAAGTGGGCCGTGCTGGGCACCCTGCTGCAGGAGTACGGGCTGCTGCAGCGGCGCCTGGAGAACGTGGAGAACCTGCTGCGCAACAGGAACTTCTGGGTGCTGCGGCTGCCCCCGGGCAGCAAGGGGGAGGCCCCCAAGGTACAGGAGCTGCGTGTGGGGGAAGAGGACCCACTGGGACTCACAGCGGAAGGGGACTCCTGGCCCTCTTGGCACCTAACGCTCGTCACCGTTGACTTTGAAGGGCTTGGGAAATGTCAGAGGAAAAGGGTGACCTGGGAAAGATGTCTGTTTGTCTGTCTGTCTGGGATGTGGTTGGCCAGTGGTTGTAGCTCTCATGCCCAAATGACCCTTGGGAGTGAGGGTGGGATCAAGGTAAGGGAAATCAGCCGAAAGCCCCTCCACAAAGCCCACGTGGAGGACACGGGTATGTGTGTAGCCGGGAGAGGGAGGAGAACCAGGAACCCTGACCCTGAATCCCCTGGCTCCACCCCTTTCCTGAAGTGGGCTTGGCCAGAGGGGAAGAGAAAATACCTTAGCTGGTGTTAGTTCTCTGAGTGGTCGTGATGCCGATGACCTGTCCTTCCAGGCGCCCCTGACTTCCGAAGAGGTGGCCGCCGAGTGCTCGGAGCAGCAGCGGGGCGGCACGGCAGCGTGGCAGGAGGCGCTCGGCCGGCACGTGGTGCCGGGGAACCCGGGTAAGAGGCCGGCCCCTGCGGGCTCCCACGCCTGGCCTTCATTCCCTTATTCAGTCACAGGAGCCCACTGAGGTCGCTGACCAGCCCTCCGTCTGCCGGCAGGTGGAAGGTACCTGAATTCCCGTTTTTGGGTCTTGTGAAGTGAAGTGCAGAGGGGTTAAATGACTCGTCCAGGTCTCGTGGGGGCCACCTGGAAGTTGGGGTCTGCTCCTCACCGTCCTGCCTTTCCTGTGACGCCAGAGGTGGCTCCTGCCCACACTCTGCCGGCTCGCTCACTTCTAGTAAGCTGGGACCTCCCCGCCTCAGTCTTTGCATGTCGGGCACACGCAGGGCTGTGCCCTGCATACTACAAGGTCTCAAGAAACCCCTCCCACCAAAGGAGGATTGACTGTGGCTGTGCTTTTCAGGGAGCCCTAGGTCCAGAGAATCAGGGCCGGCCTGGAACACTCAGAACTTGATAAGTCTTGGATATTTATTTTAGAGGTAGAGTTACAGACAGTGAGAAGGAAAGACAGAGAGAAAGGTCTTCCTTCTGTTGGTTCACTCCCCAAATGGCTGCAACGGCCGGCGCTGCGCCGATCCAAAGCCAGGAGCCAGGTGCTTCCTCCTGGTCTCCCATGCGGGTGCAGGGCCCAAGCACTTGGGCCATCCTCCACTGCCTTCCTGGGCCACAGCAGAGAGCTGGACTGGAAGAGGAGCAGCCGGGACTAGAACCAGCACCACAGGCAGAGGATTAACCTATTGTGCCATGGCACTGGCCCCGGTTTTTTTTTTTTTTTTTTTTTTTTTAGACATGTATTTATTTATTTGAAAGAGTTACAGAGGGAGAGGGAGAATGAGAGAGAAAGAGAGAGAGAGAGAGAGATCCTCTATCTTCTGGTTCGCTCCTCAAATGGCCGTAACAGCTGGGGCTTGGCCAGGCTGAAGCCAGCAGCCAGGAGCTTCTTCCGGGTCTCCCACATAGGGGCAGGGGCCCAAGGACTTGGGCCATCCTCTGCTGCTTTCCCAGGCACATTAGCAGGGAGCTGGATCAGAAGTGGAGCAGCTGGGACCCGAATCAGTGCCCTCCTGGGATGCTGACCCTGCAGGCGGAGGCTTAACCTTCCACACCACAGCGCCAGCCCTAGTCCTGGAGTTTTCTGGCTGCTCCCACTCCCATCCTAGCCTGCTTGCACCCCCAAATACTAGCTCTGCTTTGGGAAGGTGAGCAGTTGGCCTTTGGTCCGCTCCCTCCCATCCTTGAAAGGCTGAGCCCCAGAGCCATGTGCCTTGCTTCCCTTGGCCAGGCTGCAAAGGTTCTTCTTCCACAAGATGTTCCCAGCATGCTGTGGGGGAGGCTGGGATAACCTGGGGAGGGAAGGGCAGCACGAGGCTTGACCACTGACGCCCCATCCTGGGCCTCAGTTTCCCCATCCTGCGCTCTGTGCTCCTGGAAGACCATGAAGGGGTGCAGGCCCTGCTCCGGGCTTGCAGAGGATGGCCTGCCATTGTCTTGTTCTCCCCAGACCCGGCCACCAGCAAGCTGCTGCTCCTGAGCCCGCTGGACGGTGGAGACGAGGCAGGCGGCCGCAGCCTGCCCAGGGCAGAGGGATGTGTGCGGCCTGGCACTGGTGAGTCCCTCGGCGGGTGGGCGGGTGGGCCGGTGCTTCTTGCCTTTACCTGGGGTCAGAAGTCCCCGCGGGCTCGCAGAGGCAGGGAGAGTGAGCTGTTGGGGCTGCCTCGGCCACTTCCTGCATTGTAGCCTGGAGCCCTCCGAGGGGCCCCTCTGGGAGCTTGGGGAGGGCATAGCGGCAAGCGTCTGAGAGTGGGAGCCCGGGAAGGGTCCCCAGGGAGGGGTGGGGGCGCGGCTGCCCACTCCAGACCTTCCCTGAGCTCTCTCGGCCTTGTTCCGCAGGCTGATTCCTTCTTCCACCTCTAGGCTGTGCTCTCCTGATGGCGCCAGCAGCTTAGCTAGACTTTCCCCCTCAGCTCCTAACCCGTGCCTGGCGCAGACCAGGATGAAAAATAATGAGTCCGTTTAGGAGCTCGGTTTCATCTTTCAAATAGTAGCATTGCATCAGACGCAATTTTCAAAGCTTTTCCTTTTAAAGGTCACTTAGGTGTCAGATGACGCCTGGACACGCATAACAAAGGGGAGAGGGCAGCAGCACCCCTGGGGCACTAAGGGTCAGGCCTTGCCTCTCTTGAAGTGCAGGCCTTGGAGTAGGTGTGCTCAGTCCTAGGGAGTCTGGAGCCAGGAGGACGGCGGAGTATTGACGAGGACAGTGACCCTTTCCAGGCACTGCAGCCACACTCTGGCCACCCAGCCAGGTCCCCACAGCGGGCAGGGGTAGCACTGGGGCTGCGTCAGAAGCTGCGGTCACCACGCACTTCCCAGGGGGCAACAACTCTCAGGCGGATGCAGAAGCAGGGCCTGACGGGGGTGCCTGGGGCCAGAAGCCGCCGGCAGGGAATGAGTCTCAGGTAAGCTCTGGGAGGGGGAGAAGGGGGCTTCCGCAGGGTTCGGGGCCGCCCCATGGGCTAGGTTGTCCTCCCTGTTTGAGCAGAAATCATTTTGTATTCCACCTTCTGCAAGCTTTTCCCGATGCCTCAGGAGAGAACTTCGCTTCCTCCCTGTGCACCTGCTGCTGGGCCCCCGCGTGTGTGGGTGCCAGACAACTTTATTTGCTGGGAGCGTCCCCAGGCAGGCACCTCCAGGGAAAGGTGGAAACCGGGGCCCACAGCCAGCGGGCCTGCCCCGGCAGTCCTGTGTTCTGGCCCGCTCCTCAGGTGCTTCTGGTGCGGTCAGTTTGAGAACAAAGCTTCCAGGTTCCCTTTGAACAGGGACCGACTGGCCTCGAACCTTTGCAAATAACTGTGTTCTGACGGTGCGGATGGATCATGCAAGTGTGTTCAGACGTGAATACGTCCTCACTAAGCAATGCAGACGGTAAAGACAGCCAGAAAAGGTTCTCTCTACTGCCCCTGTCTCCTCCCCAGGGCAGCTGCTATGATCACTGTGGCGTGGGGCTGCAGGGTTTCCCATGCATGCTGGCACCGCATGATAGGGACTTGGTTGTAGGGCCCTGGCTGACTGTGGAGCCAGCTGGCGCATGGCGGCCAGGCACGTGGGTCTGGGCTGGCGTCTTCTCAGCGTCGCTGTGTCAAGGTGCCCCGTGTACGACAGAAGGAATGAGCTGTGTTCCTGGGTCCCAGAGCACAGTGCTAGCCCCAGTGTTGAGCGGTGTGCGTGACTGGTAGAGGGCATCGCTGAGAGTGGTCTCTGCTCATTCATTTGTTTAACAGAAATCACACCTACCCTGTGTCAAGTGCGGGGCAGGAAGGAGAAGCAAAAATGATCGCCTATTCTTTTCTTCTTCTCTTTTTTAAAAAGTTATCTTATTTGTTTGAAAAGCAGAGTTAGAGAGAGAGGGAGAGAGAAAGAGATGTCTTCCATCCGCTGATTCACTCCTCAGATGGCCGCAATGACCAGGGCTGGGCCAGCCCAAAGCCAAGAGCTAAGGGCTTCTTCTGGGTCTCCCCCGTGGGTGGCAGGAGCCCAAAGACTTGGACCATCTTCCACTGCTTTCCCAGGCCATAGCAGAGAGCTGGATTGGAAGAGGAGCAGCCAGGACTAGAACCGGTGCCAATACAGGATTTTGGCATCACAGGCAGTGGCTTCACCCACTAGGCCACAACACCAGCCCTGCGTATTCTTTTTTAAAAGTTTACTTATTTGTATTTATTTGAAAGGCAGAGCAATTATCTATCTCTCTATTTATCTTCCTGTCTTCCACCTGCTGGTTCACTCCTCAAATGCCCGCAGACCACAGCCAGGAGCCGCAAACTCCATCCAGAATCTCCCACATGGGTGGCAGAGGCCCACGTCCTTGAGCCATTGTCCACTGCTTCCCAGGATGCACAGCAGCAGGAAGCTGCATCAGAAGCAGAGGCAGGACTTGCCCGGGCACTGTGCTGTGGGGTGCAGGCATCCCAGGTGGCAGCTTCACCCACCGAGCCACACGCCCGCCCCCGCTGCTAGCTGCTCAGATGGACCTTGGAGACCGGCATGGATTGGTGAAGCCGCTCAGGTCTGAAGGGGGCCTGGCCAGGGCACTGTGTAATGGAGGACAGGGGTTGTATCATAGGCTGTGGGACATTGGAAACAGCAGAACAGCAGCTCAGACAAGACAGTGGTTGCCTTCTTTCTCCGGCCAGAGCTTGTTTGGCAGCTCTCAGGGTCACAGACCCAGGCTCCTTCTGGCGCGTTCTACCTTGTGACCATGGTTCAATGTCTAGTCAGTAAGGAGGGAGCAAGAGGGGACAAGGGGGAGAAGGGGGCCTGCTCCTTTAAGGATGACATGCTTATTTCTGATTTTTTTAAAGGTTTATTATTTTACTCAAAAGAGTTACAGAGAGGCAGAGAGAGAGGTGTCTTCCATCTGCTGGTTCACTCCCCAGATGGCCACAATGGCCAGAGCTGTGCCAATCCAAAGCCAGGAGCCAGGAGCTTTTTCTGGGTCTTCCACGTGGGTGCAGAGGCCCAAGGGCTTGGGTCATCTTCTACTGGTTTCCCAGGCCATAGCAGAGCTGGATAGAAAGTGGAGCAGCCGGGACTTGAACCAGCACCCATATGGGATGCCGGCACTGCAGGCGGCGGCTTTACCTGCTACACCAGAGCGCCGGCCCCTGTTTTGGCCGTTTGATGAAGAAGCTGAGGCACAGGGTGGCTAAGTAACTTGTCAGAGGTCACGGGGCTGGGAGAGGCAGTGCTCCTTGCATCCATTAGTTAGAACCAGCCCCACGCACACCTGCTTGCCGGGGAGGCCTGGAAGCAGGGGGGGCCCATGCAGGAGCTCGGGGCATCAGGAGCCCGCTGGCCATCTCGGGACAGCTCACAGCCTGTCTCGTGCAGGCTGGGCTCCCCCAGCTCTCCCGACTCCCCACTGCCACACCATGCATCCGTGTTGTCAGAAATCCCAGTATCTGCCCTGCCTTTGCTGGGACTGCGCTGCCGTCCGTGTGCCTGGTGGTGTCTGGTCGCAGGCTGACGTGGCAGGGGAGAGACGCCTGGGACAGCTGCCGCCCTCAGGGCCCCCTCCTCTCTCCCTCAGAAGCAGGCCTGCTGGAGTCTGCACCAGGACTTCTGCCCTGGATCAAACAAGAGGAAGAGGCACACGGGAGGAAGCCGCAGGTTCCGCAGGGGATGGCTACTGCGCACCTGTGCTCAGGTAAGGCTGCCTGCCTGGCCTTAGGAGACAGCTGCTCCCCTGCAGGGCCCTGTCCTGCGCGAGTGCCCCAAAGAGGCCCACTGCCTCCTACGTTTGCTGTGTGGCGTCCTCCCAGTCAGCTGCATGAAATTATTCCCCTTTTATACCAAAAACCTTTTCCTGGCTTCATTTTTCCCTAGTGTAACCAGCACAGTACACAAGACACAGGTGCCCCCCGCCCCCCGTCAAAGGCCTTTGCAGCTGGGAGCGAGACTGGCACAGTCAGTGTCAAGGACGTGCACAGGATACCCGTGTGACTCACACGCCTGTATTTTTCTACAGTGCATGCATGCATGCAAAAGCCTGTGCAAAGGAACCTAGTTCTAGAGCCACAGAGCCCTTTGAGTGTCTCCAGAAAGTGACGGGCAGTGTGCACGTGCGCTTACTCTGTGCACACAGCAGGAGGCATCCGTGGTTAAGCTGCGGTGGAAGGAAGGGCTGTCTCACGGCCACGTGTGGCACACACCTTTGTGTGTGCCAAAGCACAAAGGTGCTGTCGGGAGGAACGTCACCGCAGTGCACTTCGGGCAGTAGACATGAGAGGGGTTTCTAGCCTGGCTGGGGGGCAGAGAGGAGCCCAGAGGTGTTCTCTGGAGTAGACCCTTGAGTCTTGGGATGAGCAGGGCGATGGGGCGACGTGTGGAGTGGCGCAGGGCACGCCCCTGGTGGCAGCAGATGGGACCATGTAGACTGGGGCCACAGGGAGGGCCTCTGGTGACAAGCTGTCCCCAAGCCTTGGCCTTCAGATGCCAGGAAAGCAAGCGGTCAGAGTGCCCGGCTCCGGAGCCGATGGCTCAGGGACTCACTGGCTGTGCTTGTCTGTGTCCCTTCCACAGAGACCTGGCTGCTCAGCAGAGAGAAGAGGAGCCTGGAGGAGGAGCCCCAGGGGCCAGGGCCAGCCTGGGCAGCTGAGGGGGCGCCTGGCAAGGAGCGCTCTGCGGGGCTCACCTGTGGGAATCTGCTTCCTGCCCCCAGCAAGAGGGAGGTGGCCTCCCTGCCTCCAGGTCCCCAGAGCCAGGCTGTGCCAGCTGCTGGGGTCACAGAGCCGTGCTCTCCCTGTGCGGAGTGTGGACAGGGCCTTGACCAGGAGGAGCTTGGTGCACAGCATGCGCGAGCCCACCCTGGTCCTCAGCCCTTGGCCTGTGCTCAGTGTCCCCAGAGCTTGGCACAGCAGGCCACCCTCACCAGCCGCCGGCCCGCGCACAGGACCCAGCGCACCTACACCTGTGCCCAGTGCGGCAAGAGCTTCGTGCACCAGTCCACGCTCACCACACACTACCGCACGCACACCGGCGAGAAGCCCTACGAGTGCGCCGAGTGCGCCAAGCGCTTCGGCCGCCTGTCCACGCTGCTGGAGCACCAGCGCACGCACACGGGCGAGAAGCCCTTCCCTTGCGCGCAGTGCGGCCGCCGCTTCGGCCGCCTGTCCACCCTGGTGGAGCACCGGCGCACGCACACGGGCGAGAAGCCCTTCCCCTGTGCCCAGTGCGACAAGCGCTTCACGCGCCTGGCCAACCTGACCGTGCACCAGAGCGTGCACGCGGGGGAGCGTGCCTTCCAGTGCGCCCAGTGCGGCACGCGCTTCACGCACAAGCCCAGCTTCCTGCGGCACCTGCGCGGCCACTCGCGAGAGAAGCGCTATCCCTGTGGCCAGTGTGGCAAGAGCTTTACCTGTCGTTCCTGGCTGCTACGCCACCAGGGCAGCCATGCCAGCCAGGCCACTCCTTCCTGTGTGGCTTGCGACAGGGGCTCCCCAAGCCCTGAGCCATCCAGGAGCCTCCTCCAAGGTGCAGTATGGGGGAGGCCCGCCTGCGACCCGGCAGCCGCAGCCGGGTCTGAGGGTGCCCTGACCGGGTGTGACCCCAGGGTGTGCCGGGGAGGCAGGCGACTGAGTGACAGGGGTCAGGAAGGTGTGGGGGTGTCCTCGTGCAGTTCGCTGTCTCCTGTGAAGATGGAGAATGCAGGGTAGCGCCCAGAGATCTCTGACGGGGCCAGGGAGGGCTCAGGGGCCACTGGCGTCCTGGACTCCAAGCCGACCTTATCTAAGGACACTTGGCTGGCTCAGGGCGTCCTGTGCAGGATGCCGCCACTTCGCCAAGAAGGACAGGGCTCCCAGGGGCTGCAGGGCCGGCAGAGGGCCCAAGGGGCTTCTTGCTGCAGGGGTCGTGTGTGGAGGCAGGGCTGAGGTGGAGGGAGTCGTCCCAGTCGGGCCTCACTAGAGCTGGCCAGGGGGAGAGCTCGCTTGTGCCTTGTTCCATAAGGAAGTGACTGGGGAAATGGCGGTGAATCAGTTCTTTGAAGGGGCGGAGGGCCTGCTTGCACCCTTTGCCATACCCCCTGCTGCCCGCTGATAACCAAGCAGAGTCCACTGTCCTTCCTGGGGGGGTGGGAGGCCCGGGGCAGTCCAGCCTCCCGTTTCATAAACTCAGCCACGTGGCCCTCGGGCTCGAATCCAAGAGCCGTGGAGTTGTCACGGGATTCACATGGGGGCTTTCTGTGACTCCCCACTGCCTCGGAGAGGCCTGGGCTGGCCGTGGCCCTGTGCTCGTCAGCAGTTATCTCGGCTGCCGACCTAAGACACTGCCCGCTTGGCCTACAGTTTGCCTCTGAGCTGCTGGGGACAGGCAGAGGGGCCTTTCTGAAGGCCCAGGCTGTGCTGGCCACCGGGGACACAAAGCAAACCAAGGCCTGCTTCTGGGCTGGGGGCTGGGAGGGCTGTCCACTCTCAGTGGGAGGCACACAGGCCAGCAGACAGCGGGGCACGGGAGATGTTGCAGAAGCACTCAAAGTTCAGGAGGACGGGAGGAGGGACTGGAGGTGGCCCGTCCATGGCTGAAAAGCGCCTGGAGATCCTGGTGGTGCCTGCCACCATCTCGGCGACTTCAGCCAGCGGCGCACTGTTCAGGTGGGCCCTTGGTGGTGGCTGGCAGTTTGGGTTGCAGGCCGTGTTGATAAATGGAGTTCTTGCTCAGCTGGGGCCCCGACTCCCCCAGGACCCCTAGGAGCGCAGCGCCCTCGCTGTCGGATAATCCCCATACCCTGTCCCATGACCCTGAGTACTTGACATGTACACTTGTGTGCTTCCAAGAATTCTCGTCGCCTTGCGGAACACAGAAGCAGAAGTTCACAAGCCCCAGGAGCTGCGCGTGGGCCAGCGCGCGGCCATGCACTGCCTCCCGGGCTCGCGCGTCTGCATCGGGAGTTGGTTTCTACTGGAAGCTCTGTGACGTGCTGACAGCCTCTGTAAATAAGGACGTGTTTATGAGGAACCATCAACCTCCTCCTCCCGCCGCTGACCTGCTGGCCAGTGTTCCTGTTCGTGTTGCAGGAACTCTGACTCCAGGTTCTCTCGGTTAGCGGCAAATTACAGTTATTTCCAACTGCGTTTCCATTTTGAAGTAAAACAAACAAACAAACAAACAAAACAGATGGACAGGGTCCCAAAGGCAGGCAGAGCGCGGGAATGCTTGGAGGGTCAGCCTGTCCGTGCCCAGATGGCAGGCCTCAGCCTGCTGCCCTGGGCCTGGCATGGAGAAAGCAGCCTGAGTTTGTGGAATGAATGAATAAAAGGTCTCCATAATTGGTGCCACACCCAATTCTATTTTTCCCCCCAAAGAAACTGTTTATTTCTAATGAGTACAAATTTCATAAGCAACTTAGGAATATAGTGATTCTTGCCATCATACCCCCCGACTCCCACCCCACCTCACCTCCTCCTCCCCCATTCCCAGCCCCAGGCAAGCAAACAAAAAAACTGTTCCTCCACAGTCAAGACAAGGGCCGTTCAAGTCATTGCTTCTCAAAGTGTCAATTTCACTTCGACAGGTTTCCTTTTTGGTGCTCTGTTATCACAGATCAGGGAGAACATGTGGTATTTGTCCCTTTGGGACTGGTTTATTTCACTAAGTATGATTTTTTTCCAGATTCGTCCATTTTGTTGCAAATGACTGGATTTCATTTTTTACTACTGTATAGTATTCCGTAGTGTACATATTCCATAATTTCTTTATCCAGTTTTTAGTTGATGGGCATTATCTTGACTCCATGTCTTAGCTATTGTGAATTGAGCTGCAATAAACATGGGGCTGCAGATAACTCTTTTATTTGCTGATGTCAATTCCCTTGGGTGAATTCTCAGGAGTGGGATGGCTGGGTCGTATGGTAGGTCTATATTCAGATTCCTGGGGTATCTCCAAACTGTCTTCCATAGTGGCTTTACCAGTTTACATTCCCATGCCCAATTTTAATGTTGTCAATCGGATGCCAATTTTACCACTTCTCACCTTGAATAATAGTTGCTTTTACTGTATTTATTGAGTTTCAGATCCATTGATTATAAGATAAACCTTTATCTTCTATTTCACTACGCTAGGGGACAGAATGCATCATTTTGCTGTGACTCAGTTATCACTGCAATATATGTATTTTTTAAAGATTTATTTGAAAGGTACAATTACAGAAAGACAGAGAGGTCTTTCATCTGCTAGTTTACTCCCCAAATGGCCGCAATAGCTGGAACTGGGCCAATCCAAAGCCAGGAGCCAGGAGCTTCTTCCATGTCACCCATGTGGATTCAGGGACCCAAGCACTTGGGCCATCTTCCACTGCTTTCTCAGCCATTAGCAGCTGGATCAGAAGTGGAACAGCTGAGACTTGAACCGGCGCCCATATGGGATAGAGGCATCAAAGGCAGTGGCTTTACCTGCTACACCACAGTGCCGGCCCTGTCAGTGCAATCTGTTAAATGCATCCTAATTGTAGACATGTTCTTAAATTGAGAAAAATGGATATGAGGTAGATATCCTAAAGAGTGATAACTAGAGGGGCCGGCGCTGTGGCACAGTGGGTTAACGCCCTGGCCTGAAGCGCTGGCATCCCATATGGGTGCCAGTTTGAGACCCGGCTGCTTCATTTCTGATCCAGCTCTCTGCTATGGCCCGGGAAAGCAGTAGAAGATGGCCCAAGTCCTTGGGCCCTTGCACCCATGTGGGAGACCTGGAAGAAGCTCCTGGTTTCAGAACTGCCCAGCTCCAGTCATTGCGACCATTTTGGGGGTGAACCAGCAGATGAAAGATCTCTCTGTCTCGCCCTCTCTCTGTCTGTAACTCTGCCTCTCAAATAAATACATAAATAAAATAATTTTTTTACAGGCAGAGTTAGACAGTGAGAGAGAGAGAGAGAAAGGTCTTCCTTCCGTTGGTTCACCCCCCAAATGGCCACTAGAGCCGGCGCGCTGCGCCAATCCGAAGCAGGAGCCAGGTACCTCCTCCCGGTCTCCCATGCAGGAGCCCACCACTCCACAGCGCCAGCCCCCACACTGCTCTTGGATCTGGCCTCTGCCATCTGGAACCTTGTTATTTCTGTTGGCACCAGCGAGCTCAGTACATCCTGCTATCAACCCCAGGCTACAGACAAGTCACCATGAGATGACCGGGCCCCTCTTGCCCTTGTAAGTGCATCTCTGCTTTGGGGAAAGCCTTCTAGTCCTTCAAGGAGCAAAGATGTGAGCCTTACATTTTTTTTTTTTTTTTGAGCAGAAAGCGTGGGATTTACTGATATCTGTTCTTGTGAGGGTGAGCAGCAGGAGGAAGCAAGTACCCCTCAGAAACTCATCTCCTTCTAACCCTGCCACTCAAGGTCCCTTCCCCCACTTCCTCAATGGTTGGGCGAGTTAGATGTACAGTCTAAACTCAACAGGGCAGCTAAAGGGTGGGTTAGCCATGAATCCATTCTCACGTTCTGCTGTGGACCAACTTGTTCCCTCCTCAAACTCATGTGTGAAATGTCGCTCCCCCTCTTCGTGGAGGAGCAACACTGAACCCTGCGCTGTTCTTTCGTCTGCTCGGCCCTCCCCGGGTTTGCTGCTGGTTCTTCCCGGGTTGGCTACTATCCCTTCCACCTCCGTGGAAGGGCAGTTCCCCCTGGCCGCATTCCCCACTTCCGCAGGGGAGCGGCACACCGCCGGCCGGCTCTCTGGGGGGCTGCACGGGTTCCCTTAGATGTTCCCCATAGATGTTCCCGGTGCATGCCGTCTCTCTCCTCCTTTATAGTCCTCCTCCGCCAATCCCAACTCGGCTGAGTACGCTGCTCTCCAATCAGGAGCAAGTCCTACAGTTAATTGGTTGAACTGGAGGCAGCTGTGCGGAAGCTGTTTACTTCTCTCCCAGCGCCATATTGTGGGAGAGCAGATGCATAGAATAAGTCCTAATTCGAGTAACTTAGTCTAGTCCGGATTGCTCCCCACAGATCCCCCTTTCTTTTTATTTTTTAGCGTTGATACGCGCCTGTCTTCGGTGTCCCGCGGCACACACTCTGCTCTACTTGCTAGCGTTGCCACAGGCTCTTACAAGTCCTATCAATCAGGAAAACCGAATCCGGGTCCTCTCTTCGCCATTGTGAGGAGGTTTTTAGGCGCTGATGCGTGCCTGTGTTCGGTGCCCTGCAGCGCATGCTCTACTCTGCTAGAACTGCCTGCAGGTGTTTACAAAACCTATCAGGCAAACCGAATCCAAGCCTTCTCATTGCCTTATTGTGGGGGAGACTTATTAGTGTTGGTTCGTGCCTATCTTCGGTGACCTGCAGCTCATACTCTGGTCGAGCTTTGCTGGCGCTTACCGCCTTAAATCAGGCAGACCGAATCCAAGCCTTCTAATTGGCATGTTGAGGGGAGGCCTTATTTTTCTCTATTTCTCTATCTCCGGGCATTCCTACCTCTCCCATTTCACTTCTATCTTCCAGCATTCCCATTTCTCTTTTACTTCACTTCCAAACTTCTGTTTCTCTTATCCCTGCGGCTTTCCGGCACCTCGCCCCGCCGGCGGGTTCCCGGGGCGGGTTCCCGGCTCTGCGCCGCTTCAGCCCGCGCGCCTCTCTGCGCGGCTTCCCGGCTTTGCGCAGTCCGCGGTCTCCACGCTTAACCCTTTCGCGTCTGAACCACGGCCTACGCCAGCGTTCCCTATCTATTCACGCCCCGTGCTCTCTCTGCACGCGGCGGCTTCCGCGAGTAACACAGCGTAGCTTGCGTCTCCGCCACTAGGATTCAATCTAAGTTCCCCGGGCTAGCCTGGCGAATTCAACCCAGCGTACGTCTCCGCCCCACGGTTTGGCTTCCCGTCCTTTGCTCCCCGGGCTAATCAGACGGATCCCAATCTGGCTTACGTCTCAGCTTCTGGTTTCAACTTTTCGCCCCCTATTCCCGGGCTAACTTGAGAACCCCAAAGTGGCTTTCGTCTCCGCCTTGGCCTGCCCCCCGCGGCTTCAATTTCCCTAACATTTTTCTCTACCCGGTATGTTTCCCCAAGCTTTCCTCCAACGATATTCCTCCCTCATTTCTCCTGGCCTCTCCCCACAGTCCGCGTCCGAGTCTGTTTGTTCTAGCTTTCACTTTCGCTTTCGACCTTAGAGATTTCTCCCAGCTTCCCCCCGTAGTCCGTATCCGAGTCTATGCCTAGGCTTTCAATAGCTTCTTCCGGCTCCTTTTTCGTCCGGCTTTTCCCTAGGCTGTTTGCTAGTCTCTCCGATATTTTCCCAATTCTTCCCGTTTCTTCCCTCCTAAGTTTCATATCCGTCCTAGGTTTCCTATCCGAGTTAGGTTTCCTATCCGAGTCACGGCACCATTATGTCGCTCCCCCTCTTCGTGGAGGAGCAACACTGAACCCTGCGCTGTTCTTTCGTCTGCTCGGCCCTCCCCGGGTTTGCTGCTGGTTCTTCCCGGGTTGGCTACTATCCCTTCCACCTCCGTGGAAGGGCAGTTCCCCCTGGCCGCATTCCCCACTTCCGCAGGGGAGCGGCACACCGCCGGCCGGCTCTCTGGGGGGCTGCACGGGTTCCCTTAGATGTTCCCCATAGATGTTCCCGGTGCATGCCGTCTCTCTCCTCCTTTATAGTCCTCCTCCGCCAATCCCAACTCGGCTGAGTACGCTGCTCTCCAATCAGGAGCAAGTCCTACAGTTAATTGGTTGAACTGGAGGCAGCTGTGCGGAAGCTGTTTACTTCTCTCCCAGCGCCATATTGTGGGAGAGCAGATGCATAGAATAAGTCCTAATTCGAGTAACTTAGTCTAGTCCGGATTGCTCCCCACAGTGAAAGTCCCAACTTTCAGTGATAATATTTGGAGATCAGGCCTTTGGGTGAGATAATTCGGTTTAGATGAGGTCCTCATAATGGGAGTAGTGCCCTTCCAGGAAGATGCGACCAGAGCTCCCTCTCTGCCACGTTTAGACGCAGTGAGAAGACAGCCAGGACCTGATGGACCGTGCTGGCACCTTGACCTCGGATTTCCAGCTCCAAAACCCTGAGAAGAAAATTTCTGTTGTGTAAGCCACCCAGTCCATGGTATTTTGTTAGGGCAGCCTGAGCCAACTGGGACACACCCGACCCCCGAGAACTTTCTGATCCCTTCCTCATCGCCATGCCTTTC